AAACATACCAAAAAACAAAGTCAAAATAGAATCCAAATCTTAGTGTTCATTGTTTAAAAAAAGTCAAAACACTAGGGATTTAGATGAATTAGGCGACGTYRCRACGATTAGGAACGAAAAAGAGGTGGATAGTGGATACCGTAGAATCGTGGACGGTGGATTACTGGATGTTTGGTTTAGCCGATTAGGTTAGGAATTACCAAATTAGGGATTTAGATTTAGGGAATTTAGGACATCTTTTGGATAAGGCTTTATGTTTGGGCTGAATAATTATAATACTAAAATAAAATAATATATATATATATATATATATATATATATATATATATATGGCGGTCGGGTTGGTCCAAACCGCCCAAAAAAAAGTCTAAACCGCAAACCGACCAGACCGCCCGGTTTCGACTATTTTTCAAACCAGACCGGACCGCCAGACCGCTCAAACCGCCAAAAACGGTCCGGTTTGACTTGGTTCGGCCGGTTTGAGCGGTCCGGCGGTTTTTTTGAACACCCCTACAATAAACAGTATTTCATGCATAATTTTTTTATGATATTTTTAAATTTATATTTTATTCAAAAATGAAAACATTATCGCGTTCTCAAAACCACATAAAACCGTATTATATCAACATAAAAAAAATAAAACGAAATATTAAAATTGAAATATAACTCGATGCATTACATGAGTACCCTTCTAAGGTAAGGCAATTCCTAGGACTTAATTTGGTGAGTTGACACCATCCGAAATCAATGGACTGATTGGACTCTTATAACGGATGAAAATGAATTTGTAAAATATGAATGTATTGTGGTAAGTTTTTGATAGTTAAAAGGTGAAGCCACAAACTACCAAAACATAAGACTCAAGTGTCTCAATTGTGATATATTAAACTTAAGTGTTGAAACGGGTTATTTTTGAAAAGATTGGTGGTTATTTTATAAAACATTTAAACTTCAGTTTCATATAACTTGGATTTAACCGGGGGAATGTAAAACCCTAAACCCTAATTCCGTCTTCTCTCTAATTCTCCGTTGTCTAGACGCCGACGCGAACTCCGACTCCGACTCCGACTCTGACTCTCTGCTGTCGTCTCCTCTATTCATTAACCGTGTATTGAACGTAGATACTCTCTATTCGGCGTCTTGTTGTTGCAGGGCGGTTGCCTCTCCTCTGCCGTCTGATTCTTGAGTAGCTGCAGCCTGCACTCCGAGGCATTAACATCCCTAGTCCAGTACAGTATTAAGTATCTTGAGTACTGCCCAAGTGCCCATTCAACTAACTACTTGAGTAAGAAGCTTCAGTCTTCACGGACGTCCTTTTCATGTTGTTTTAATATTGCTTTTGTATGCTACACCTTTTATCGAATATGAAAATGAATGCCTCTGTTAAAATTGAGTCCTTGGACATCTACGTCTACATTTCATATTGATGTTGATTGATGTCAAATTGGTACCGCAGTTGATTGCAACTAAATTGATGCCACGGTTGATTGCAACTAAATTGATGCCACGGTTGATTGCAATTAAATTGTTTATGGCATATTTTTTTTTTGCGAGAGAAGGTTGCAAATGAATTGCATTAAAACTGTTGGCACTTTTCAATGGGAAGCTTACCTTTTCATCTTATGATGAACAAACAGTATTAGACATTATGATGATCAGCTCATAATAGACTTAAGTTCAATCAACATATGGAGGAGCAAATGTTGGTTCTGCCTTAAACTCTTTGCCTTCGTTTTTTGGGGTATTCCCTGTTTGTTGTCATCCCTTAGTTCTTTTTCGTGTCAAAATACAGTTTGAGTTTACTTAGATAAATTTGTTATTAATTACTGGAGTCACCACGCACTCCTGAATCCCTTTCATTACTGAGGTTAATAGATATTTCACCAATCAGCTATATTTTCATAGCTGTTTTGTCATTATAACTTGTCAAGTTGGAAAGCTGTTACCAGAACCTTGATTCAAACCACCAGAATCGGCTGAGAATAGTAAAGGCTGAATCAGTATTCTTAAATAAAAAGACAAGGGTTTGAAGCTAACAATAAACAGTCAATTGCACTTTACACTTTACACTTCTAAAGGATATTAGTTATTTTTAATAAGAATCTATTATCTATGCTAGTTATCCACTGTGTCCAGGCAAGAGTAGCACATTTGACATTTGGACTCAAAAAGGTTACTTTTCGAGTTCATCATTCATAGATCTTAAAACATTTCTAGAAAGAAACTTTGGAAATAATCTATAAAGTTTGCAAAGTATTATGTTTGACAAAAGTAATTAAAGCATAGCTGATTTTTCTGGAAAGGAGGGAGTTGGTTAGAGCTCTGAAAAGCTATGCCCTATATATATGTTTGTATTGCTGTGCTCATTAGTCAATCCTAAATTTGTGCAGGACATGGCTAAACCTTCAAAGAAATCCTTCAACAAGAAATCAGACGACAGGCTTAAAACGTTTCAAAAACCATCTAAAAAGCCTTTTAAACCGCATCAAAAATCTGACAGCATTATATCTAAAGATGCTCTACCAATTCAGCTTGAAGACGATGTCCCTGACTTCCCCAGAGGTCCAAGACTTCACTTTATATATATAAACCTGTAATTAAATATGTGTATACACGAATATTCATGTAAGGTTTTAAGTGTTGTAGGTGGGCAAAGTTCACTCAGTAGGGCAGAGGTAGATAAAGTTCGCTCAGAGGTTGACAAAGAATTTGAAACAGAGACTATAGTTTTGAAGAAGAAGAGAAAAGAGAAAATGAAAAAGATGAGTCAATCGACTGATGATGACTTGGGCTCACTTTTTGGTGATGGAAAGGCTGGGAAATCGCCTAGGTTTGCTAACAAGATCACTTTGAAGGTACATCATTTTTTTAGGATTTCTCAGTTCCTCTGGTGTTATGTATGAAAATGTGTTATTCTATTAATTCAAAACAAAGTAACCAGCAACTAAGTTCATCAGTCTGTCAGTTTGCTTGGGATTATTGCTGTAACTTCTTTTTAATTTTGCTCAAGGAACTGAATTGAAGTCACAGTTACTTACTTTTGATTGTTTGAAGGTCTGTTTTTGGTCTGATTATGTTGTCGACTTTCTTTTTTACTAGTACTTTTATAGTATGTAAAGGTGCCTGACTGACAAGGCTGACATTCATTCATCAAGGAAATGTATGTGATGCAAAAGGTTCACAAACTTGAGCTGATTGTATCTTTCAACACTTGGTTGACTGACAAGGCTGGTATTCATTCATCAAGGAAATATTTTTGATACAAATTGTTCACTTGAGCTGATTGCATCGTTCAACACTTGGTTGAACTTCTTATGCTTTTTATAGATGCCTGGATCACAATCTATTTCACTAGTTTGGCTAGCTGATGTTTTTCATTAGCTTGCTCATACTCTCTCCTCTCCATTCTTTTTCAGACATAATTTTTTGTTGACATGTTCTGCTATTGTGCTTCTTATGATACACTTTCTTTTGGATAATTTTTTTTTGACCAAAGTTGCATAATTTTTTCTCTTGCTTTTCTGAATTCCTGTAGAATCTTACTGCTGGAATGAAGCTGTGGGGTATAATCACTGAAGTGAATGAGAAAGATCTTGTAGTCAGTCTTCCAGGGGGCCTTTGTGGTTTAGTTCGTGCTTCTGAAGCAATAGATCCTTCTTTACATGATGAAGTGAAAGGGGTACTATGCTTTTGAAAATGTCTATGGTCACTTTCTTATCTTTCCTGTATCACACCAGTAGAAATTTTCAGAAAACTCTACTGTTTGTGTTTTCTGATTAAAGTTTTTGTTTTAATATATAAAACTCTGTATCCCAAACAGGATACAGAAGATGATGTTCTTTCTACCATATATACCGTTGGCCAACTGGTTTCATGCATAGTACTGCAATTAGATGATGATAAGAAAGAGAAAGGGAAGCGCAAGATTTGGCTCTCTCTGCGTCTTGCTTTGTTGCATAGTAGCTTCACCTTGGATATTCTTCAAGAAGGGATGGTAAGCCATTTCCATCATTCTATGTAGGAGCCTTGTAGCGGTGCAAGGTCTCTCTTTTGGTGTTATTTTCTTTCATGCTTGACACATCTTCTCTTATTTTCCATAATAGTAAAGGGTTGTTCACTCTTCTCGAAAGCATTAGATCTTAATTGTTACCCATCATTAAGAACTAATGCTTCTTTTCTGCCAACTTAGTTAATCGCTTGTCTGTTACATGTGCAATACATTGGTTAAGTTGTTGGATGGAAGTTATTGAAATATTTATCAAATGGAGTGTTCACATGTTACCGAGGATTAGAGAGTGGAACTTTTTCTTACAGGCAGGCATGCAGTTGTCTTTGAAGTTGGAATGACTTGGGCTTTATAGGTTAACTGTGTTTATGTGTGTTTACCGAGAAAATCCATGAGTATCAAGTGGCATGCTTCTCCTCTTCTCTACCTTCTTTAAAGTCTTTTTATCTTATGATATTTTCTCTCATGTACCTTGCAGGTCATTAATGCATATGTGAAAAGCATTGAAGACCATGGCTACATGCTTCATTTTGGAGTAACTTCATTTACTGGTTTTATGCAAAATAGCAGCAACGATGGTAATTGCTACTTATAGGTTCTGTTGTATATTTATATACATTTTGACCATCATGAGTAGCCTGTTATTCTCCTTCAGGTTATTGTTGATGGTGTCAGTAGTTATTTTTTGCTGCTGCTTCATATTTATTATATTTGCCTTTGAAGTTCATTTTCCTTATCGCCATCATGATTGCTTTTTGTGCTAAATATTGATTGCTTTTTGTGCTAAACATTGATTGCTCTTCAACACCTTAAATTCTCTTGTAAATTATAATGTTTGCTTATGTGCTTCGGGAACATGTCGGTAGAACCATATTCGCAATCTGTGTGTCTTCTTGCTGAATTATGGAATAGAAGTTCTGTTATACTTATCTTCTTTTAGCTTGGTGGTGATTTACATATTCATAATAACACATGAAGTTGCCTAATGCTGATGACCATGTGAGCTACATGTCTTTTAGCCCTGTGAAACACAACTCCTAGCATTCCTGTTTCAGAAAGTATGACCTTATATTCTCTCTATGGCTAGCCTCAAGCAAACCTTGCCGCTATCTAACCTTAATCCTTGGTTTGTCTATACCTGTGTGCTTAGGCATTCAATCTGATGCTTTGAATCATTGCAAAAAACATGCGTACATGCACATTCTAAATAGACTTCATTGCATGTGACATTGGGTTTGAATTTGATCCAATCTTCCTTAGATGGATAACAACTTGTTCTATTTTTTGTCATGCTTATGTGTTCTATATATTTTATCTTTATCCAAAGCAAGTACTGGCTGTTCCATTTAAAGCGATGTTCTGGCTGTGTTGAAATTTATTTCATCATGTTTAATGATTTATTCTCCCGCAATCTACATACACATGGAAACAAGCAGGAAGCAGGGGCACACAAATGGTTGTTGGGAGCCTCGTTCAAGGAGTTGTAAAGAGTATCGATAGAACTCGCAAAGTTGTTTATCTTAGTTCTGATGCTGAGGAGGTGGTCAAACATGTGGTATGTATTTGCCATTTCTTTCTCTACTGCTATGGTAATCTCCCTTGTGCCACTGCTACGACTTAACTCATTTGTGTCCTTCTGTACAGACAAAGGATCTTAAAGGCATTCCTTTTAATCTGCTTATTCCTGGTATGATGGTTAATGCTAGTGTGCGCTCAACCCTCGAAAATGGCATCATGCTGTCCTTCCTCACCTTCTTCACGGGAACTGTGTGTTTGCAAACCTTTTTTGTATTTACTTAATTTGAATTGTAATTAAACAAGTCTTGAAATTGATTTGTGATGCATAATGTAACGTGTGATTGTTTTTCCAACTTCTGTAGGTCGATATATTTCATTTGGGAAAAACTCTTCCCACTTCAAAGTGGAAAGACGAGTACACTCAAAACAAAAAGGTAAGAATTCATACGTCTCTTGCAGGGGCAAATTAGCTGAGGCAAGAAGACTTCCCATGATTTTCAGTTATATTACACCCTCTAAGATGTCGTCGTTCTATTTTGAGATGTGCCAATTTTTGTGCCCCCTTTCTCCAAAACTGTGCATGGTTTATTGGTTTCTCTTGGTGAACTTATGAAAATCTTGTGAACTTTTGCAATCAAAAGAGACAGTCAAATTGAAAGAGGGAGTAATTTGTAAATCATTATATTACCCTGGAACTTTTTGGCGTGAGTGATCATTCTGCGAACCTTTATTACTTGGCTTCTGAATGTCACTGTGTATTTGTAGTTTCTATTTTGCACAAGACATGTAAGATGAAGCCTTTCTTCACATAACATATATTCAAGTCTGTCTATTTTGAAATTAAATAATGAAAAAAGACAGAATGATGGAAGCCAGTTTTCTATTTCCATGTTTTATGCCTAAGAGCAAGCTTGACTGTTGTGTGGATCACCTTGGAATATTCTACAAGAAAAAATAAATATGGTTATCCTATTATATTAGTTGCAACATATGCTTCTTTTATTTGAGCTTTTTCTTCTAAATGTCACTTGCTGTTACTATTCTGCCTTTGCAGTGTCTATGTCTTCACTGCTGTTTTTTCCCAATGCCAGGTTAATGCTCGGATTTTGTTCATTGACCCCTCAACCAGAGCTGTTGGTTTGACCATGAATCCCCATCTTGTTCATAACAATGCTCCACCTTCAGTGAGTATTTGCTCTGATCAAATTTATAACCTGTTCATAAATGTGTTTTGCAAACTTGCATGTATCTGGTTTATGTAGGCTTCTATTTTGAATTCAATTTCCTCCAATCAGGTACTTTGCATTGACTGCATGGGGTGGGGCATCCCCCTTCATTTATGTTTACTTCGGGGATTGAAGAACCTGGCTGTAGCATTAATTTGTAGACTTGCTTAACTGATTTATGGGAGTATCAGAGGAAAAATTTAGATAATTTATATATGGGTACAATGCCTATTTAGGAATGAACTTGAACTGGTTTTATTTAGGTTTTGTAGAAAAAGATGATCAGGATAGAGTTCTTCTCACTTTGTGAAATATGAACATAGATAAGGTCTCTGGAGTCATTTAAGAATTCTGATGATCCTGTAACTTATCAAATTTAGGGATATGATGTGAGGTTTCCCAATGGTAAGAAATTTTGGAGGAAGTGGAGAACAGGGAGGACAGACATAGCTAACATATCCCCTGGGGAAATGTAAAGTTTTCACCTCACAGAACTGTATGACGTAAAATTATTTTATGTTGTTCCACCATGAGCTGAAACTGCTAAATACCTTTACAGTGATGATTTTGTTGTTCCTGTACTTAAAATTCAAAACGAATTTTTGGTTCCTATTTGTGTGCATTCAAAGTGCTTGTAGGCATTTATTGGTTGGGATAACATACATGACATCACATTTACCATCTCAATAAAGTAAAACCCTTCACTACAATTTTCAAATTGCTAAAAGACCCATCAATTTTGAGAGCATTGAACTTATCTGAAGCTTTTGATTTATAATTCCTAGCTTTAACATGGGAGGCTGTAGCCTAATTCATTAAGTTGTTTAGCCAACTTTGCCTGAGAAACCTGACAAATCTTGTCTTACTATGATGAATGGACATGTTTTACGATGGGTAAGGTGACAACCAAACTCATAAGTTGCCAAACCAACTCTGCCTAAACATTTAACATATCTCATGACCTGCCAATAGAATTGACATGCTTTGATGTTTTCGCTGCTGCTCTGAAACCTCTCAAGTATTCGATGATGTCCAATAAGAATTTGCTAAGTTCACAATGATATTGGCTTAGAAATCTGCTTCATCTTTGAAGGTTCTTTTAATATCGTGTGATTGAGTTTATGCATACTGCTAGTGCCTAATGGGAGTGTTTGAAGTGTTAGTCTGTTTCAACTTAGATGCAAGCACAGTTTTTACAGAAGTTCCTTGCTTCACCTTGCCAAGGGTTTCTGTTCCAAGCTAAACTACCCACTCAAGCTTCTCTCCCCCTCATTATTTGGTTATCATTTACTTTGCTTTTAATGCTTGTAATTAGTTTCATATAAACTGTGGTGCAGCTTGTCAAAATTGGAGATATATTCGATGATTCAAAAGTGGTTCGAGTTGATAGAGGATCTGGCCTGCTGCTGGAAATCCCTACTGCTCCAATTCCAACTCCTGCATATGTTAGTGTAAGTTAATCTGGCAGATTCAGTTGCAACAATTGATATTTGAGCAAATACTTTTACCTTGAAGATCTGCTGTTATGCTAATTTCATTTCTTTAGGTGTCCGATTTGTCTGACAAGGAAGTCCGGAAATGGGAAAAAAGCTTCAAGGAAGGAAGTGTGGTTCGTGTAAGGGTTTTTGGATTCCGGATTTTGGAGGGGGTTGCCACTGGTGTTTTAAAGGTTGCTTCTGCTTTCTTTTGCATTTGCGTTCTCAGTCATGTGAACTCTTATGTCCGCGTTTGTAGACCATGCAAAGTTGCTCAAACAAATGTGAACTTTTGCATATAAATGGGACGTAATACCCATTTGTGGATGGTGCGACGACCTTAGAAATAGTAAATAAACAAGTTTGGTTTTATTTGTAACTTCTCTTTCTATTTCTCTAATTTGCTAGTTTCTTCATATAAAGAATACGTAAGGATTTCACATATTCACACTTTCTTTGCATTATTTTATCAAGTCTTACGCGAATCTGTACCATTGCATTATATCCTTTTTGGGTTGCTTTAATAGAAGTAAGCTTGTACTATTTCTGTTATTTAATTTCTTTGATTTCCCAACTCATAACTGCCTAGTTTATATTTTTTTTGACTTTTTTCGCATTTTAGCTGAATTTTATTCAGATTTTTTTTCTACCATGGATCATGATTTCTAAAAAAGAAGAAGAATAAGTGGACCTGTTTTGTTGATTTAGAAGCTTCAGGCCTTTCTATTTGTAACTTGAGCAAATATGACTTCTTGACTTGCTTCTCTCAATTATTTTTGCTCTAAGCAGACTAGTGCATTTGAAGGCTCTGTTTTCACTCACTCTGATGTCAGACCTGGAATGGTGATGAAGGCCAAAGTTATTATTGTTGATAGTTTTGGTGCAATTGTTCAATTTGCTAGTGGTGTGAAGGCACTCTGCCCTCTTCGTCATATGTCGGAATTTGAAATTGTAAAACCTAGAAAAAAGTTCCAGGTGATGTGCAACATACTTTTGGGTGAAGATTTTTGCATTATATGCTTTAATTATCCAAATTAGTTCATTCAACTCTATATACATATTTGAATAATATGATTATAGAAACTTGTCATGATATGTTTTTTGGTCTATACAGGTTGGCGCTGAATTGGTTTTTCGTGTGCTTGGTTGCAAGTCCAAAAGAATTACCGTCACACACAAGAAAACACTTGTATGCTCGTCTCCCAAATATACTTGATTATTTTTTGTCTAGCCTGTTTAGCTAAACATCCATGCCTTCTTATTTTCTTGAGTTGATGGTTGTAATATCCTTGTACTTCAATGCCTATTTGTTTGGAAGTGTAGTGCAAATAACATTGAAGTAATCTGAAATGGTTGAGCGAGTCCTGGATCCCAACTACAACTGTTAATGTTACTGGTCATACCTAATTGCTTATGTCATTTGTTACTTTCGGGGATCAAGATGCAATGTTTCATTATATTTCATGCATTCAAACGTGGCAATTACTGTAAGAGGCAAGAACTAGAGACTCTGCTTTCTCTTAGGTGGTAAGTTATAGCAAGGCCTAGCGTAATACGTTTAGAAGCATCTATTAGACTGCAAAAGCCTAGCAAGTGGATGGAAAAAGAGACGGACTTCTCATCCTTTAACCCCATGAAGTTATATGTTTATATGTGCTGCTCTTGTAAAACCTTAGATGTTATGAATGTAAGATGCCTTACCGGTGAGGTCAGTAGAGCGTGTAGAGGCAACTGCCATGTTATGGCAGTTCATACTGACCAAAATTTTGTTTGTGCCCAGTGCTCTCTTTTATGGGACATACAATCTCAGGTTCACCTGGATTTTGATAAGTTTCTATCAGACGGCTATGTTATTCTTATTGTTCTGCCTTATTGGTTTATCATGTGACATAACTTCTATGCATTTATGTTAGGAATATTATCTGATTATAACATTTAATGTGTACTGAGGGGCCAAAAACCTATCAGAGGTCCTGGAACATAATGTAAGGTTTTTAGTTGTGATCCGTTATCAGGATCAGTGCATTCTACCATGATCAAAGATAAAGATTAGTAGCATCTTTACACATCAAATAGCATGTGGTTCCATGTGTTTGTCATGCCACCACCCCTTTGATTGTCACCTACATTATGTATAGGCTGATTTTACTTGGGTGTTATGATTATGGCACTACATTGTCTGTAGTGACTAAGTTGGCATATCTTAGTTAATGTTGTTGCGATGTAAGATTCAATACATGCTGTTTGATGTGTGCTCTTATTGTTTGTTACATCTTGTGCATTATGTTTAGCATCTGTAATTACTTTCTTTAGCTGTTTTCATCTGCCTGCTGTTTTGCCATTTCTAATTCATCTTGTTGATGGATCAGCAGATTTCAGTACTATTTTTGTATAAATAATTGAAATATGCGTTTCGATCTCTTGCATTTTAGTCAATGAATGATTCTGCTTGATCTTGTTAGGTAAAATCGAAGCTTCCGGTTCTTAGCTCATATACCGATGCAACCGAAGGGTTGTTGACTCATGGATGGATCACAAAAATTGAGAGCCATGGTTGTTTTGTTCGGTTTTACAATGGCGTGCAAGGATTTGCCCCCAGGTTAGATCCAAATTCCTCATACCCTGTTCTGATGGCATCAGCAAAAGAAACATACATTGCCCTTGTTTACCCCGGGGAATGTAGTTTTTTTTTCTGTTGCTTGGGGTCCGATGGAAATGCTTCAGGTTTTAGCCGTGATTCTTATGATCTATTGGACTATTTATCTCAGAATCAGATTCATGTTTTGAGCTAGGGTTATATATTGAAGTTTAAGCCAGCATTCACTTTTGATGTCAAATCCTTCTGTCGCCTTTTTGTGTTCTTAGCAACTGATTCTAATTTACGTGCGACTTAAAGGAATCAAATTACAAGGACCAATTGCATAAATCTTTACTTTTGAAGCCACTTTGTCCCCAATTACTGGTCTTTACCTGAAAACGTGCCACCTTGCTGAGCAGGCGATGCTGTATCAAAAGATCTGCAAGTCTTTAATCCAATAGACATGAATATATGCGATACCAGTTCTTAGGCTTTGTCATAGTCTTTGATCCAATAAAATATCGATTCTCTGTTTCAAGAAAAACTCTACTCTCTTTCATTAGTGTCTGTTAGTAAAGTGGACAATATAGATAATTCATTATAAGTGTTCCATCTTGTTTGTATACACATGAATGCTTGCATCTGCAGACATAAGTCATATTTAATTTCTTTGGATATTATGTTTCTGTCTTTTAATCTTCAATGCTTGCATCTGCTTCCTTTAACCCTTATTTCTCTTTCTCTGCCTTGCTATATACCATTCCCCCAAAATAATATGTTCATATTATCGTGCTTCTATATCACATCAGCTGATAATTACTATTATTTCTTTGAATTAGAGCTGAGCTTGGTCTAGATCCGGGATCCGATGTGAGTTCAATGTATCATGTTGAGCAAGTCGCCAAATGCAGAGTTACAAGTTCAGTTCCTGCTTCAAGGAGGATCAACCTTAGTTTCCTGGCAACGCCTGCAAGGTCTGTGTCCTATATTCTTCAAGGGTTCTACTGTAGCTGTTACTTTACTGGAGTCGGGATTTCAGGGGAAAACTTTGTAAGGATTTATGCAGGATAGCATGAAATATCAACATTAATATTCTTTGTTGACAGGACATCTGAAGACGACACGATCAAACTTGGGAGTCTTGTATCAGGTACTGTTGAACGAGTAACTCCTCATGGGATAATAGTTGATGTCGGTGTTAAGGGTTACATGAAGGGCATGATTTCTTTTGAACATCTGGCAGACAACCATGGTAAGCATTTAATCTGGCTAAGGACCTTCTATTACATGCTTTTCAGGGTTTATATGTTGTTTTGCGAATTTTATTTTTTGCTCAAATATTTCCCATTCTTGAGCAAAATCATACTTTTTATCATTCAACATTGTTTGTTGATATTCAGGGCTTGCTTCTAAAATGGAGTCAGTATTGAAGCCAGGATACAAGTTTGAAAAACTTTTGGTTCTAGGTAAGTGTGTATGTTAGATGCTTACAGATACATAAATAAAGAAAAAAAAACATATAGCAATATCTGTTGGTTTATGTAAATTTTCTGCCTTGTTTTCATTTGTATATCCATGTAAAATAGGCGTTGGTGCATATGTTTGTGTAATAGATTGAGAGCTAGGTTATGATGTGGAGTTACACATTCGTGACATTGCCTTGTTGCTTTTGAAGTTTAGACAGATCAATCATACTAGTGATATGCCTCTAAGGGGGTTAGTAGAGAATTATTACACTATTTTGAATGAGCATGGTATGGTAGTCTGTTAAAAAATTTCGTTGTGTTTGGTGACATGTGATACTTATTTTCAGATATGAATGAATTAATCCATGCAGATACATTCACTGGATAGATACAGTCATACACATATATCCTGACTGAGTATATAAGGGTTTCCCTTTGTAAGTTATGTGAAGAGGAGAGATACAGACACAAAGGTGACATCTAATCCACATCCAGTCAATGGAAATATAATATTTTCGATGGAACCTGCCCCACTTTTAGTATATCCAACTCCTCCACCTTACTTAAATGTGCATAAGGATTATCAGATTTACTTTTCTTGACGAGGAAATAGGGGTTAGGGTAGTAGGTAGTGCTGTTATTTGAACTCCTTTCCGCTTTATACAAATATATGAGAGACCGTAATTTCTTATACTCGAGTCTCCTGCAATCACACAATAGGCTACTACTATCTTTGGTCTATGTATTGCTCTACATTTTGAGAAATAGGAAAAATATCTGAGGCAGTGACATGGTTACTGTTTTTGATGTAAAAAGAAAAATAGATAGATAAGCATGATATGAGATAGGTATGTGGTTCCTTAGCTAAGAATTCATTTAATAGAGAACAATTGTCAACGATTAAAGCACAAAAAGCTCATCTGATAGCCTTGTGGTTAAGGTCTCTCCTTTGTTCAGGTCGCCTATTCAAATCTCATTTTTTCAGATGCAACAAAAGGAGGACAGAGAAAGTCTGTCGATTATATTGGTTCGATGTTGTATTTACGGATTTTATTTCTTTTCTACAGATGTTGAGAACAAAAACTTGATACTAACTGCGAAATATTCTCTTGTTATTGCGGCTCAGCAATTGCCTGCAGATGCCAGTCAAGTTTATGCGCATTCAGTGGTCCATGTAAGATCCCCTCTTCCTTGTAGCTTGTGGATGTGGCTTATTTATACATAGCATATGTTGAAAACAGCAGATACAGTAGACTTGTTCTGTCCCTCCAGTTGTTTGTCTGCTGAATATAACTTACTCTGATAACCTAAAATCACCTCTGATCCAGGGTTATATCTGTAATGTCATTGACACTGGTTGTTTTGTGCGCTTCATTGGGCGTTTAACTGGTTTTGCTCCAAAAAACAAGGTATGTCTTTTCCAGTAATTGTTTATGCGTTTCTGTTTATTCTTCCCATAGTTATTGATAGTTATCTAGTTTACTTAACAACATAATCTGTATTGTCTAGGCTGTTGATGACCATAGAGCTGATCTTTCTAAAGTCTTTTATGTTGGACAGTCTGTTCGTAGTAACATACTGGATGTACGTGAAGGTTTTGGTGTTAATTTTTGTCATTATGATTTCTATGAAAGTGACGACGACTCGTAAGTGTTTGTATTGATCTGCATATTTTTCGAAATATATCCAGGTTAATAGTGAAACAGGTAGGATAACACTATCCCTGAAGCAGTCGTTGTGCTCTTCGGTTGATGCATCTTTCATTCAAGAATACTTCCTCTTGGAGGAAAAGGTGATTATTTATGTTATATATGTTTTTCTAGGCATATTGCCATTTGATTGGAGAACAGGACAAGTAGTTTCTTTAAGAGACTGTAATAAGGGATGCAAAAAACTAGTATATTGATAATCCTAGTTTTTTTGTATGCATGTATTGCATACTGCCAATCCTCATCAAGCCTCCGAGTTTAGTTTTTTTCTATCTAACCTCATACATGTTATCATTTGCAACATGTTTATGTTACTCCCTTTATTCCAACATAGTGACCCTAGTTTGGTTTCTAATGCTAAATCTTTTTAATCTGCTATGGTCTTTGTATAGTTTGATATAGTGATCGATGGTCTTATTGAAAAGTAATTTGTAGTTGAAGAATTATTTGATTAAATACCATATTCATATCATGATACCGATTGTGGAACACAAGGACTATTTACACTACAATGGTGACATTTATTTTTGTACATGTACCTTTTCATTTGTATATGAATTTGTTTGTATGTTAACCATCAAATATCCTCCGTGTTGATTGGCTTCTTTGGAATACCATGCTTTTAGATGTAAACTGTTGTCATAAAAATTGAAAGATGTTTTGGAAATACCAAACAAGATGTGTTCTGTTTAATTAGCTACAGGTAATTTCATTGGATTCTCAGCATTAGGTATTACTAGTATGCCATTGGTTTTTGTACAAACAACCCAGTTCCATCCTGTCCGTTCTTGTTCTACAATTTTACTTTTTAATTTATCTTGGTCATATTTCAATTTAGCCATTATGATTAGGCCATTATTTTCTGTACCTATGACTGTTATATCCTAAAACTCTTCTAGAATGCCATTGGCAACACTGTGGTTTCCTTCACTACTGGTTCATTTTTTTTTCTCACTGATTATTTTTCCTTGGAGAATATCTGAACTCTGCCTTTACTTGATCTTTTCAGATTGCCAAGCTTCAGTATTCTTGTTCAAAGCCTTCTAGCCTGAAATGGGTCAAAGAGTTCCCTATTGGTAATTTGATTGAGGGAACGGTCCATGAAGAAAAGGAATCTGGATTTGTTATCAGCTTTCAGAAGTACAATGATGTTTTTGGGTTTATCACACATCACCAACGTAAGTATTTAACTGCAAGTCATCAGTTGCTCTATGCAATATGTAACAGTGTTCAATGTGAATTCTATGCAGTTGGTCGATCAACTGTAGATATTGGTAAAACTGTCAAAGCCGTAATTCTTGATGTAGCCAAGATGGATCATCTTGTGTATTTGTCCTTGAAGCCAGAGTTCGTTAACAGATGCGTGGAGAACTCTGATTCCTGCACTCCCAAAAAGGTTTTCAATGATTAACTTAAGCCTCATCTGTCCGGCTTGTTGCAAGTTTTTTTGTTAATCTTTGCCATCTTCCGCTCCAATATTATTATAATATATTTTCCGGCTCTCATAAAGAAATTTGTTTTGTACCTCTTGTTCTTTTACATTCTCCTCCAACATTGTGTATTTTTATGGCAGACATGTGGTGGTAATTGTTGTTGCATGTCTCTCAGTTCTTGTTTACCATTTTGTCATCCAGATGCGCAAAAGGTCAGCTCACAAGGATTTGGAGGTGCATCAAACTGTAAATGCAGTAGTGGAAGTTGTCCAGGAGAATTATTTGGCAAGTGTTGTATTTGATCTACACATTAAGCACCATCATGTTGATTTTAGAAATCTACGTTCCACTAATACTCATCCTTTCCTGCTTTGCTATATGTTTGGCCCAGGTTCTTTCTATTCCGGATGCTAAATTTGCACTGGGATATGCATCTCTAAGTGACTACAATACCCAAACATTGCAACCAAAACAATTTGTTAACGGACAAAGGTAAATTGCAAAATACCATTCCTTGTTTCCTTCAATTCATCGTACTTCCATTATTTCTTTTATAGGATGTTCTAAAACCTTTTGAAGAAGCAAATATTTTTCTTCATGCAAATCTCATGTGTAGGAACTAAACATCTTAAAGCTAGTTGATATAGCTGTTCAAGATTTCAACTCAAAAGAGTTGGTTACAATAGATTACGGATGGGTATGGTTGGAACATATTCCTGCAATTAATGGTTATGTTGATTTCCAATGGCCTTAGTGTGAGAAAATTTCTGAACTTGTCAAGTCAAATTAGAGTACAATAGGTGGTATGTTTGAATGGTTTTGATTTTCCAATGTAAAAGGGGTATGCTTTGCGCTGAGCGGTACCAAAGTAAAAAGGGATGTGCTTTGTGTCGAGTGGTACTAAAGTAGTTGTGGCCATTCCCCGGGGGGCCTTATGCCTTAAGACGCTCATCTATACCTCCAAGTTGATGATCACAGAGGAATCAGAGTTGCATCTGTATATGTTGTCATTATGTTTTGTGGCTTGCTCTAGCAAATATCTAAACAAACTCTTATCCATACTACAGATACTATATGGTATGAGAGGCCAAACTCTACTCATCTTCTGATGGGTTGCCTACTTGCTTAGGGTTTTCATATGGTCGCATAGGTTGCCTATTTGGAACTTGAACTTGAGCATTCTATGCTTTTAGCTTTTTCTTTAAAGAAAAGAGGAAAAATGCAAATTGATCATGAAATTTGAAGTAGTTTCTGAACCCATCACAAAACTGACATATGAATGCAGAACTGCATAATACAGAATTATCCGGTCCAAAATATGCACCCTGCTTATTTTTAACGTAGGATTCATAAGAGAGGGCAAAGCTAGCGGTTCATTACCTTACACACCTGTAGACCCTTTTCAATGCATAGTCCTGTAGACTCTTTTGAATCTGCCTTCTTCACCTGTCGATTGTAGCATCATTTTTCAAACGATCATGTATTAGCATTTATTTCACATTTTTGAGAGTGACAAGAAAACACATTCTTTTGGTTGTAGGGTGAGTGCATCTGTTGTGGCTCTTCCAGACTCTTCCACAGCAGAAAGGCTACTGTTGCTGCTTAAATCTAACAGTGAGGTTGATACCTCCAGCGCAAAGAGGGCGAAAAAGAAGTCTAGCTATGATGTTGGTTCTGCTGTCCAGGCAGAGGTGGATTTTACTTATTGTTACACTTGTGTCATTTTTCTAGTCACAGTAGCATTTTAGTATAAAAATGACTTACCATGCATGCTATAACAATAGTGATAATTTGTTTTCAGGTTACAGAAATAAAGCCTCTTGAGCTTAGATTGAAATTTGGTTCAGGTTTACGTGGGCGAATACATATCACAGAGGTAAGCTGTTTCGTGCATTGTGTGCTCAATCTGGTCTTTTCCGTCATGGTTGCATAATTTATATTGCATGTTGACAGGCAAGCGATGGTAATATTGTAGAGGACCCATTTGGTAACTTCAAAATTGGGCAGACACTGACAGCAAGGATTGTGTCAAAAGCTAAGGTTGAAAATAGTAATAACTTCCGGTGGGACTTGTCAATCAAACCCTCAGTTCTTGCAGGTGAAGCTTGTTTTTCATTTGTGTATTTGTCTCATTTTATCGCAGTACAGGGTCCGTAGTTCGAACAAAAAAGTCTTGATTTGCTGTCTCTGATGGCAGTGTATGTTTACCCTTGCCAACAATCTCATGTCATGACTATGCATCCTCTTTTCTCTGGTTATGTCTGTTTGCTTGTTATTCTTCAGCAACTTCTATTAGTTAAAACTGTTTAATCTATTAATTTAATTAATTTATGATAGGTTTTTAATTACAGTTGGTTTTTTAAATCAATATATGTTGATCAATACATATTGATGCTGCTTCTTTTCAATCCTGATGTTCTTTGATTGTGTTGAGAGTATCATTTCTGCTACTTGATTCTTGGATTCCTTTTGACATTTTACTATGATCAGTCTCCAGGGCGCGAACACAAGCTATCAGTTATTATCTTCCGATGGACCAACGTGCAATGGTTTTTCATGTTTATTCTTATGATATATGTGTGCATGTACGTATTATATGCTTACACAAATATCATAACAATAAACATGGAAAACCATTGCACTTTGGTCCATCTGAAGAGAACATACACACACACACACACATATATATATATATATAGACAATCACACGTATTTATGTTTTTTTTAGATAGCGTGGTTATAGTGTACAGTAAATCATATCAGAATAGTCATGAAGTCTAGCCTGTTCACTAACCAAATCATTTTTCATGTCATGGACTTGCAGACCAAGCAGATGTTCACACAGCAGTAGAATTCAGTTATTCAATTGGTCAAAGTGTAACCGGGTTTGTGTATAAAGTGGATAAAGATTGGGCCTGGTTGGCAGTAACTCGAGATGTACGGGCGCAGCTATATATTCTTGACAGTGCATGTAACCCTTCTGAGCTTCACGATTTCCAAAATCGGTTTCATATAGGAAAACCTATCTCCGGCTATATTCTAAGTACTAGTAAAGAGAAAAGACTGTTGAGGTTACTATTACATCCAGTAGCTGGTGGGCTACTTTCTAATGGTGCTTCCATGACAGATGATTTAGTCAGTCTCTCGAGTGAAACTGTCACATCTCATATTTGTGAAGGTGCTGTTGTTGGTGGCAGAATTTCTAAAATACTGCCAGGTGTTGGTGGCTTGATTGTGCAAATTGATCCACACCTCTCGGGTAAGGTTCATTATACTGAACTAGCAGATTCATGGATATCCAATCCGTTGTCTAGCTATCATGAAGGGCAGTTTGTCAAATGCAAAGTACTCGACATTGGCCATTCTGGGACAGGCACTGTTCATGTTGATTTGTCTTTGCGCTCATCTTTAGTTGGGATCGATGAGAACTCTAAAGAACTGCAGTCATATGTGTAAGTAATTCACTAGTTAAGTTTTTTATTTATTCATTCTAGAAAGAGAAAAACTATTGCTTCATCATGTTTATTGCTTCATCCCAAGAAAATGTAATGTTTGACTTGGCACATAGTTTATAGATTTTTTTTGACTAATAACTAAATACCTAACTATCCAATATAATTCAGGAACTTATGGACTACAATCAACCTCACCATTATATTGTAATGTTTGCTAGTGTGGAAATATGTTGGAAATATCTTTCGGAAAAAGGAAGCTGCATTTCTTTTTTAGACGATGAAAAGTTGAAAACATTGAATATATTTTGAAATTTGAGGATTTACTATTTGTTTGAATTTGTTTCTCGCGGCTAATCATGTCACTGTTAAATTTAACCTGTCATTTCTAATTACCAAGTTTCTTTCACGTCCATTCTATGTCTTCAAAGTAGGAAAATAACTCTACATTCAGTAGCTGTACTTGGTTGAGGTTAAAATCCAACGCTCTTGGCATGATTTTTTGAGTCTGGAGAAAGATCTCCTTTACTTGAATGGCCTTTAAACATTATGATATTCTTGATCCAATTTTGGTATTTAGTCAAGACACTTTGTTTATGTTAAATTTCTTGAAATAAATGTTTGCAGGAAATCTTGCAGTAATCGTTATGAAAAGATTGAGGATCTTCATCCTGATATGGCTGTAGAGGTAATTGCTCTCTGGAAGCTTCATCTGACTTCTCCTTTCTTCTTTTAGCTATTTTATGGTGATAGGACGCTCATCTTGTGTCTATGTTGTGTCCTTTTCTATTTAAGGGTATAAAAAAGGGTTTTCTCATGCTACTAAATGTTATTCGTCTGGTCAGGATTCTCCAGTATTCTGCTGTTAAAATCACAGAATCTAAGATTCCAAACAGCTGTGGGTATAAAAGGGGTTTTCTCGTGCTACTATCCCTTATTCTCATTGTTATGAAAAGGAAATAATTTTTTTGGTATTGAAGGGTTTCTCATGATCCTATGAGATCATTTGACCTTTGTGAGAACTGAGAGGCCTCACAGAATTGGTTCATAATGTACCTTATAGGATCACTTTAGACTTCAGAAAGACCATTTGTCTTATGCTAAACCGTGGACTCACAGATGTTATGGTTAGCAGTATTTTTTAGTAGTTCCTGTCAAGCTTCTAAAGTAAATGTGACTAATCAACTCAATATGGAAGGTATGCGGGGGTATTCGGGTAATATATATGTCCTATTGATCCGCTTGTTGTGGTCTTCTTATGTCACAGAGGCTCTTTTATGATAACAGTTTTTTGCATAGGCTTAACTGTTCTTCTTTTGTTAGGGTTATGTTAAGAACATCACACCAAAGGGATGTTTCATTATGCTTTCTAGGAAGCTTGATGCAAAAATACTGATCTCAAACTTGTCCGATGACTATGTCTCAAAACCCGAAGAAGAGTTCCCTATTGGCAAACTTGTAAATGGCAGGTAAGGTTTTGCTTGTTATATTTCTTTATTGAAAACTTAATTATGATGTTCATGTAATGATGTGTTTCACACAGGGTGGTTTCGTTGGAGCCTCTATCAAAGCGAATTGAAGTCAGTCTTCGGAAAACAAGTGGTACAAAGGTACCAAAATCTGACAAGGGTGGCTTCAGTAGTCTCAATGTTGGAGAAATTATATCTGGAAGGGTGAAGCGTATTGAGCCGTATGGCTTATTTATCGCAATTGATCAATCCAAGTTGGTAAGTGGCTGTGCTCTTCTCTTGGTTATGAAGGCCGGAAGCTTTCTGTGACTATCATTGAACTTGCAATCTGTTCTTTCCAAAGTACTAGTTGTATATCCATTTTATAGAGAATAATCTTATCATGATGCAACACAAAGTGTTGTCGCAATTGGTGGTCTCTACCAACGTGATGTAGACGCTTTTTATTGTTGGTCTTACATCTATTTGTTGAGATAGGGTCTGTAACCGTGTTTGTTTTTTATCATGAATCTGCCAATAAACTTCTCTATCTTTACATAGGTTGGACTGTGCCATGTCTCTGAGCTCCCTGAGGATCGTATGGACAACATCGAAACAAAGTACAAAATCCGGGAGAAAGTTAAGGCCAAGATCTTGAAGGTCAGCATAAACACATACATTACATTCCAAAAGAAAGCAACTTCCAATTTTTTATAAACCCCTCAACATTTTCACAAGCAGTTTGTAGGCTGCAAGTATTGTGATCATTTAATTAGCATGTAGAACTATAAACCTCATATATTCTTGAACTCATTTGAAAGCTATATCTACTATTATAATTATTATTAAATAAGCATCTATCAATATAAATGTCCAAATGTACTCTTTTTGGCTTGCCATTAAATACTACCTATTTTTCACATAACAGATCTCACTGAGTGACTTTCTCTTAAATTTGTCATTAGGTTGATGAAGAAAGACAACGAATCTCTTTAGGAATGAAGGGATCATATTTTGATACGAATACAGATGCTGGAGCACCTGCAGATGATGGTTCTGACGCACTCGATGAGGATGATTCTGAATTAAGCGATCAAAACCCTAATGAGTTCCAGGAGCCGCTCTTTCCGTTTGAGAATGGGAAGCATCCAGTATTAGCTGAAGTGGAATCCAGGGCTGCCGTCCTTCCACTTGATGTTCCTTTGGATGAAACAGACGACTCACCTGTGAATGATGTAGTTGCTCAAAGTCCAGAGCCGCTTGATAACAAAAGTGAGACAAATGAAAACAAAAATAGGCGCACCAAGAAGAAAGAGATGGAAGAAAGGTGCCTTAAAATTATTTCTATACACTAAGATGCACTTATATCTTCTATCAGACACCCACTCCACTATGAAGGGCTGGGCTGCCAGTATATGGCATCAGTAATAGCAAGTCAGGTGATAATTTTTTTCATAATCGATACTGTGATATGCAGAGAGCGAGAGATTAGGGCTGCTGAGGAAAGACTATTGCAGGAAGATGTACCGAGAACTGCTGATGACTTTGAAAAGTTGATCAGAAACTCTCCCAATAGCAGCTTTATCTGGATAAAGTACATGGCATTTTTGCTCTCTTTGAATGAAGTTGAGAAGGCTCGATCAATGGCTGAGAGGTACTGTTATTCTTCTGCAGATCAAACATTTTGTGTCCCATATATGTTCATTTCTGTTTTCCAGACCGTTCAAAATAATACTCCCCTGTCCAGTTCCACAATAAATGTTCAAAATGAAAAAGTCACGAAAAAGGGGGGAGGGGTAGGTTTTTATTTTAAAATTTAATCACATTCATTGGATCAATCAATCTAACAGTTGATGGGGTTCTCCCACTTTCCATCTTTTAGGATTTTCTATTAAACCTCTCTCTCTCTCTCTCTCTCTCTTTATATATATATATATATATATATATGTATATAGATCTTGTAGTCTGATGTATACAACTGTTTCTATGATATTGTAGGGCTTTGAGGACAATCAATATCAGAGAAGAGGCAGAGAAGCTAAATGTCTGGGTTGCTTACTTTAATTTAGAGAATGAATATGGAAACCCTCCAGAGGTATTAATAACCATGCCCAAAATTTCTTACTTAACAGTGGTTTTCTTGGTTTTGTTATTCATTTACCAACTTGTTTGAATAATTTCTATGTCAGGATGCCGTCTTAAAAGTTTTTCAAAGAGCATTGCAGTATTGTGACCCCAAAAAGGTCCACTTTGCACTATTAGGGATGTACGAGAGGACTGAGCAACACAAATTGGCTGACGAGCTTCTCGAAAAGATGATCAAGAAGTTTAAGCATTCATGCAAGGTATATCTGAATAAAACATGCCACTTTTAGTTATCAAGTGTTTATGGTTTAGAGAGCCCCATGCTTACCGTTTACAATATATAGGTTTGGTTAAGGCGGATTCAGAGAGTATTAAAGCAAAAGGAGGATCTGGTCCAATCTGTTGTGAAACGGGCTCTCATATGCCTTCCCAAACACAAGCATATTAAGTTTATCACACAGACAGCAATTTCCGAGTTCAAGACTGGAGTTCCTGATAGAGGAAGGTCAATGTTCGAAGGAATGCTTCGCGAGTACCCAAAAAGAACCGATTTGTGGAGTGTTTACCTGGACCAAGTAATTCACTTCCCTTAATGTTGTTTCTTTTAAGCTTCCTCCGTCCCAAAATAATTGTACATATTTCTATCTAAGTTTGTCTCAAATTAAGTGCCGGCTTTCAAATTCTACCTATAACTATGAATTCTCTTTTAGTTAAATAAAATGTAATAATTACGCATTTTCTACAATTTTGAGTTGTGGACATTTATTTTGGGACGGAGTGTGTGATTCATTTGACTCGTGATATAAATCAAACTGTGTAAATTTGACAGGAGATTCGGCTTGGAGACGTGGATGTGATCCGTTCTTTATTTGAGAGAACCATATGCTTAGAGCTGCCACTTAAGAAGATGAAGGTTAGTCATCACCAACAATGCTAGTTTTTCTTATATTATGTTTCTAGTGCAGCACCCAGATATGTATGATGACATCATTGTTTCTTGTTTTGTATGGATTTTGCAGTTCTTATTTAAAAAATATCTTGAATTTGAGAAGTCATATGGCGATGAAGAAAGAACCGAGTACGTTAAGGCAGAGGCCCTGAAATATCTTGAGAAAGCCCGTCCTTAATGAGGAGTGATTAGCCCTGCAGCATCTCCGAACCTGGAAATGAGTGTTGTCCATCCAATAAACATTCAAGAATCTTGACACATTCGAGATTGCTAAACCAGATTTCCAGGATCACCATTGGCTGAGATTTTTTGTTATCGACTAGCGAATCGAGTTTATGCCGATCAAGGGAAGGGGAATTTTGCAGTATACAGAGATTGATGAAAAGGCTGGATGGAGGCAAAGAAAAAGATACTTTTGAAGTTTATATATATATGTGGGTCTTAATATTTGGGTTATTTTTAATAGTAATTTAGAAGTCCATAAAGAATGGCATTTTTGTACACTTTTTAGCCTTTGTGTATCATGTTGTTCTTGTATCAATTAAGTGCATCTTGCAATTTGGGATGGATGCTTCTGGAAGTAGATTTTTGATGAATCAAAAGTGATTAATCAAAAATCTATCCATTGACTTGGTGTGTGTTTGTGTATAAAACCATAATCTACCATCTTCAATTTCCATCAAGACCGAGACGGATCGAGAACCCATTTAGACTAATTAAGAACCCGATAAAAAAGGATAATCAGAACATATAGGGTTGAAACTGTAATATATTGATGATAAAAAAAGGATAATCAGAACCCGATAAACCAAGGTTCATATCGGTATTGATGATCATACATGACGCACTTTGTTATGAAATAACAAAGATAAATGTTGTATCTTGTAATTTTTTTTTAAAAATGAACATTTTTTTTTTTTAAATCAATACCGATATGAACCTTGGTCTTTAAAAAACCGTTACACTTGCGATTAACAGATAAGAAAATTATTTAAAAATAAAAGTAAACCATCTACTTTCAGACTGTAAATCAGTGCTAATATACTAAAAGATAACGAGTAAATAATATAATTTAAGTTTAAAAATTATAATTTGAAGTATGCACTTCAGCAGTTGATAAAAATCATTTTCTATTAGAAATAATCAATAATTCACTCATTCGCTATTAGAAAATAAGTTTGATAATGAATGGGTTGTATTTTACAAATGATTACAAAAGAGTACGAGTTTGTAGTAGATGTTCTATACACGTAAACATATATAAACATTTATGATTAATATTACACAAATATGTCATTTCACGTCAAACATGAGTTAGAACCAAAAAAAAAAAACTAAATCAAGATGGATGTCAAATCAAAGAGAATGAAACACTCATTTTTTAATATAAATTAATCAACATATAAATAATCAATCACACATATATAAAAAGACACATGGTATAATCGTCCTAATGTGGTTTCATGAGCCAACATGGGCACCACGGGAAAAACTCATGTTACTTTTTTTTGAACTTTTACTCCAATCCATGTGGACAATACTCGGTACTTGTACCATTTTATTACTTGAAAGACGATATTGATATTAACTGTATACTTGCTTTTGTTGTTTCGATATATGTTATCATTTCTTCAATTTTGACTTGTTTGATGTTGTTTCAATTTATGCTAAACCCATCCGTCTTGTTTAGTTTTATTATTTATGCTATACCCGTCGAACGCATTACCTTTATGAAATCTTAGCTTTTGCATTAAGCATTGATAATGAATAGTAGCATCTTAATTGTGTTTGCTTGTATGATTTTTTTTAATTAATGTTGTTTGTTCACTGATTGTAGTAGCAAGCCAATGAAACAAATGCAAGTGGTAATAACCTTTTGGTGTTTGTTTCTGTTTATGAACATAATTTGATGGTTGTTGAAATCGACAAATAGTAACCGTCCCAAATCACAAAATCAATTGTAACAGCGATAAGTCAGGTAGTAAACTAAACCTAGTCAAAACAAGCTCTTCGATTAAACCTTAACCGGAAGTGTATTTTAAACAAGTTTTCAAAATCGTAATCATAATTAGCATTAAGAAGTAGGAAAACCACTGATTCAAAACAATAAGCTCATAAGTTCGGTTTACTAAAGTTTTGATTGCAAAAACCCCTGACATACGTTGAAAACTACGACATAAATAGGCACACCAATTTCCTATGAGCTGGCAAATTACAATGTAGATTCAAATATTTTGTTAGAATTGAAATCCGGATAGGATATGGGTTGGTATTTCATGTTCACCTATTTTGTTTTTAATGTAAAATTTGTGAAAAGTCATCTTGATGGAAATTTTGTAATAGAAATGTCATGTCACAGAACAAACGCAATCCCCTGTAGTTGTATGTAATTTTGCTCTCATGTTTTATATGTTGATGCCGGCTTTAACTTTTGTAAATCTCTGTCATATCTACTTGTACCTCGGTTTCCCTTTCTTTTGCTCACATATGTCAACGCTTTCTTGTTTTTATACTTTGACATATTGTTGTTTTACTTTATATTTTATAGTTTCTTCTACAATTTTTCTAATGTATTCTTTAGCATCGTATGTTGTTCACATGATAAATGAAGTCCATGGTGTTATCATATTTAGGGTTTGTGCTTTTTAAGAGGCAACTTTATTCTAAATATGTCCATGGCAAAAAAAATAAATCTTTATGCTAAATACGTTGATCTTGTTGTTGCTTAATTGTATTGAATCAGTTGACATATCTAACGTTTAATGAATGATTAGATTGGTTGGCATAATCTAATGATGATTGTTGTGGAACAGCAAGTCCACTTTTGCACACTTAACGGAGCTCCCCTATCAATTATGTCCATTCCTCATCATCCCCTGTTCCGGTCATGGGATAGATGAAATGGAGATAAGCGGACTCGAACCGCTGACATCCGCCGCAGGGTAAACCACCGCCTCTCAGGTCCCCCGACTGATTCTACCATAGCCATGGTCAGTGTGGTTTCACTTTTGTTATGCATTTTGTCTTTTGTCCTAACTTTCTTAACTTAAGCTATGTTAAGTCGGGCTGCTTTGGTAAATTGACATTTTTTTTTCCATTTTCAATAAAAATTGAAACCAAGAGTTTTTGTTTTTTCAATTGATACCTAAGTAAGTGATGGGAATTAGTCGGCTCGCATAGCGGGTTAGATATTCAGGTTAATAAAAAAAAATTGGTGACGGGGAAGGATGGGTTTCTTGAAATCAATGGGGGAAGATATGAAGGATGGAGGAATCTCTTTATCACTATAGTATCTTGATAGTCTACGCCTGTGTATGTCTATATATAGTAATACATAATATATAAAATTATGTATCTTTTTTATTTATTTTTAAAGAAAATTGTTAAAAGGACCAAAATACCCTTGATTTTCGTATAACAACAGGGACGAAGTTTGTAATTTACAATAATATTAATTAGACAATGCTATAACTAGGGGTCAACGTGGGTCGAGTTGATCGAGTTGAAAGCATTTGAACAACTCAACCGAACCTAATGTTAATCAGGTTGAAACTTTGGTACATCAAAATATTATTGTATCATTGTATGTTAATTTGTTATCTTGAATGTTGTGTTTTATCTGAGGCTGGTGTTGGACCCTCCTTCTCCTGGTGCTACCCACGGTTTGGGCTGGTATCACGTCGTGCATAGGTTGTTGGCATCGTGGCTAGGTCGTGGTTCGTAGCCCATGGGCCGTTCCATGATGGTTCGGGTCTTTTTTTCCTAGAGTTTTCATTTTGTTTAAGTTATTCTGGTTTTTGGTATTTTTAATTATCTTTATTTAATTTTGGCTAAAATGTTTTTTTTATATTTAAATGTTTTTAAATTCATATATGGTATGGCTTTAAGATCGATTAAATGTGTTTGGTTTAAATTTTTAAATTGAAAAATTAAATGTATTTAGTTGCAATGAGTTATAATCTTTAAATAAGACTTGTCGTGTCGTTTTATTTTAATTTTCTAGTTTTTTTATTAATCTAGATATCCAACCGCTATGCGAGCCGACTAATCCCAGGGCGACCAACTATTTTACAGATAGCCCGGAGTCACCATATTTGAACCTCCATAGTCATAAGGGGATTTTTATTCTGCTTGGATTTGAACCTGCGACATTCTGATACTTTTAACCTATGGGTTTCACAGAGGTACAACTGATATCACTTTATTTTATAGAAAAATGAATGATGATATTTTACTTGTACAAATCTATGTTGACGATATAATCTTTGGTGCAACTAATGTCTCAATGTGCAAAGAATTTGAAGTTTTGATGCAGAACGAGTTTGAAATGAGCATGATGGGAGADCTCACCTTCTTCTTGGGCCTTCAAGTCAAGCAATCTGCCGAAGGCATATTTATAAATCAATCTAAATATGTGCATGACCTGTTGAAGAAGTACAAGATGCTAGAAGTCAAACTCAAACCATCCTTGTGATTTAATTTTCTAGTTTTAGATAATTGTAAAATAGATTATGATATATTTATCTTTTCTATTTTAAATCGTAACCAAATTGAAGAAGAATTCAAAAGATCAAGCTCGAGTACGGAGTTAACTAAGTTGGTGGAGCTCGTGAATGTCGTGTTGGCTCGACGCGCATTAAGAGGCTATACCGTATATTTTGCGTTATCTATTTATAACTGTAAAACTTCTTTATAAATAAATCAAATACAAAAGGTTTTTAATCGGTAAATAAATATGATTATTATAAAACGTGATATGTTTATCGAAATAAAACTGATTTAAAAAAAGATAACTTGTAAAACATGATTTTAAAATTTTAAAATATAAATTCAAACATTTGAAAGTTTAGAATGATTATTAAATATAATAAATCGTTTTCAAAATGGATGCTACACGTTACTTATTTAGGGTACTTGTCAAAATATTGTCAAACTTTGACATAGTTAGAGTATTGTCTAGCTATGTCAGATAAACGTAATAGGAGATAGAGTGTTAAAATAGCAGGATCTAAATGAACATATGCACATTTGGCCATTCATTTGGATAGTTGTGATGTTAGACGACTGATTTTTCTTAAAAGTTGTTACTTGAATGAAAATTATGATAATATGTCATGGTTAACCTGTTTGAAATATAAGTAAACTGAGCACTAGCCATTTTACAGATATTTCAAGGCGTGCAACTGAGAGTAACCATGCCACCATTTTACAGATATTTCAAGGGCAATTTTACAGATATTTCAAGGCCAAACCACATCTATTGGGTTGGAATTGGGTTAGGGTAATTTAAACCCAACCCAAGTCACCCGATGTTTTTCTATACTATGGATTTAATATGATTATTAAGTCATCAATTAATATATGTAAATTAAACATTAGACCAACCTGTAATTAGTTATGTTCAAAATTATATTACAATTTCAACCGTAATTTTAGTTTCTTATTTACATGAATCCTCAACTTTCTTTCGAATTTGATAGCCTTTTTTGTATGTTCCCATTCTGATTTTACATGATGTATTAAAGTTTCAATCCGACCAACCAAACCCACATTGGGTTGGGTTGTAGTTTTGCTTGGGTTGGGTTGAGATTTTTCAAACTACAAACATTGGATTGAGTTGTTCAAATGTCTTCAACCCAACCATATACAACCTAATTTCAAGAGCAACTTTTGGTTCATTTTTGTAAGAGAAATAAGTTTTATTTCTACAAATAAAACCATGTCAAAATTACTTTCATCCAACATGAAAAGCTATCACATATGTGCTTCACACACTAGCCGGAAGTTGTCATTGTATACTCCCGCGGGTCGGAAGGCGGCGGGGGAAGGAGAGGGAGGGTCCGCGCATCTGTTTTGGGTACAGAGGGCCATAGGTCCGAAAGCGGACAGACCGCATCGAAGATATATATATATATATATATATATATATATATATACACACACACGGGGTTACGGTTATCTCGGACTTGGACCAAAAAAGAAAGAAAAAAGAAACACTTCAAAATTGAATCCCAACTCTATTTACATGCTCATTTTGCATACTCTAGAATACAAGTCTTTGGCCTCAAAAAAACAAAAGATAACTACATATTAAATACTTTCTAGCTCTCATTCTATACAACAAAAGCTAACATGAAGGAGAATGCTTGTATGCCAGCAAAAATAAATAGCAAAAGAAGCATTAAATGCCGAAATGTATCTACATGAAAAAGGGCACCGCACTTCTTCGATCAAGGATCCAATGCCAGCCCAGCTTATTGAAGACGGGGTTTCATTGACCACATGTCTTCATTGATAAAACCAGTAAAGCTTCATCAAGAGTTCCGGTCTACTGCCAAAATAGACGCTGCTTTTTGGTTGGCTAAGAAAAGACTCGTGTAGGCCATGATTGTTTGGAAGACAATGGGTTCAGTTTAGAGCATAGTGAACTCGTTCAAGAAGTCGCACAACCTTATTAACATTGATCCGTGAAAGTGGTGGCTTTGAACTACGTGATGTGAAGATATTATGAGGGGCTCGAGGTAAAGCTAGTACATCCTCCTGTTGGGTATTTGTGAGCTCCAAAAACTGAGCTAGCATATCCCCATCAAGAATCTTTGGTATCCCTGCCTGCAAATTTGTAAAAGGAAACTGAAAATGATATCCGATCATATGGAACAAGACTTGATGAAGTTAAACTCAAAATGATTACGAACCCTCTTTGTGGAAAATATGGAAGTCATGCTAGCAAGTGTGACAAAACTGGAATGCTAAAAGGCAATAATAATGTAACTGCTTCTAAATAATCTACAGATATCGTAACAATTAAGGTGATTTTGTACCCATACCGAACTTTGACGGCTGCGGAACTCGTTATGATCATTCCCAAGAATAGGAGCCGTCAAAGGATGAACTGCAATCCTGGATTGTACATCTTCCAAAAGCTCAAATTCATCCCTGAAAGATAAAGTTTGGCTTAGAAAGCAATTCCTTATTTAAGATCTTAGTAATTAAACAGCCATTGGATTAAAATAATGTAATAGATAGAACAACACTAATTGAAGTGAAGTTGCTCACTCATACATGACTGTACAAGTGACAATCCAAAAGGGCTGAATTTCAGCGTGCAAATAAGTTTTTTGCAGCCTTCTATCCATAAACAGATAGGGATTGGTTTGGTACGCGGACATGACAGAACAAAAACTTGTTGTCCCACGTTAGGCACGACATGACACTTGGACAGGACAAGACTGAGTATGACAGAAAAATGCAGTTTTTTTGCCCCACCAGAATAGGTGGAACAAAGATTAGGGAGATGAGACAAGATTGGTAAATTACTAAACCACCCATGTCAAATTAAACCTTCCACAATTCTTTGACGGCCTACCTCACTCTCGCCCATTCATTGCAGTCTAGTCTTGTCCATTCCCACAGGCGAATCAAACCACCCATACTAATCATAGGACAAAATCGGGGTCATGTTTTTATAGAGATCAAACCGTTCAGAGGCTAACTAAAGATCCCCACCTAGATGATGGACCCAAGTAGCATCCCGAGAAAGGTCTATATTTTATTAGAAATACAACCGTATCTACAACAAGTCCCCAACATCACAGGTTGATCTTTCCTAACATCTTCTATCAGTACAAGTCTCATTTTCAAACTAGTGCATTTGAAGCTCTATGATATAAAACTTCATTTTTACATTTTAGGACCCCTCCTACTACCATCGCTATCATTATCTATTAGTAGGCAACCATGGGCCCATGAAGCACCAGAACCATATGTATATCCATCATATGCCATCAACTAGGAACCGGAGGAAACATACAGAATACATACAAACTTCAAGGTTTTCTATATCTCTAATTCTTTCTTTTAACTTTTTGTTTTTTGATGGTCTCGGTGATCATACTAGGATGTTAAACTCCTTAGATCTCCCACCATTGAATTCCATAAACGCAAACAAAATATTTTCACCTAAAATTCTCATTACCAAATTATTATAAAAACATGACAAGTTTCATACCTTGATATAGGAACGAAGATCATTATGCTTCCTAACAATGTGCTTGCCACAATACTACTGTGTGATAAATCCATAATTGAACTAGCAATGTCGCAGTCCCTCATTTCATCGTCAGCCAGAAGTTTGTATGAAAACGAACCCTACAAAAAATACCAGCAAGAAAGATTGAAAGTAATTAGGTACATATAAAGAATATAAATCATCTGTTAATACCATGGCCAAACAGCCGCCTCAGTAGCCGGTTAGCACTATAAAGTATACTATGCTTCAAACATTAATAAAGGGCATAGATAATTTAATTCAGAGTCATCAACTTTCTGACCCACCATATTTGGCTGTCAAACTAACCACTGTTCTAGATAAACAGAAGGAAAAGAAGAAGGGAAAAACATTATAGCTTCCATGAACAAAAGATCTTAGACAAATTCTGAAAATGTAAATGCAAAAAGAAACACCGTTTCACATTTTTTTGGTCCAAAATTGCTCATTCTTGCAAACTACAGTGATGCTTTTGCAAAAATTGTGGTTCATTGCAACAAAAAGCCAAAAATGATTTTCGAATGTCAATCAACTACTTAATTTAAGTGCAATAGTCTTAAACTATGTACAAGGAGTCACGAACTTGCCTTTCTGATGCTCATTGCGATCTCACCCATATAGAAGGATGAACAAACCTTTAAGTTGCATTCTGGACTTGCATTTTCTGCATCATATTGGTAGAGAAATCAAATATAAACATAAAAATAATATATATTTACTAAGCAACAAAAAAAAGCGTTGAACATGCCAATACATTCAGCTAGAAAGAATATGGAACTACGCAGCAATAAAACTCAGTTGAAACTCACATGCTTGGAAAGGTGATTCTGAAGTTTACACAAGGCACGAAAAGCTTACCACCTGAGTGATGCGAACAAGACAAGACTGCAATGCTCCCCTTGCGATCTGAAACAACAGCTGTATCAATGTTCATAAGAAGGCAATCAGCAACCAGCCTCTGGACAGGGTCACTATATAATTGCTCCACCTTCTTGGCGTCCTGTATCAGGGTGATTGAAACAGTTGAATATCACTTAACTCACATGTATAAGCATCTGATATAAAAAAAATACGGATTGATAGCATCTATCAAATTATTAAAACAGATATTAACTGACAACCTCATAATATGCATAGAAAAGAATGCCATCACGACAATCACCAACAGCAATAGTAGTGAAGTGAGTGGTCAAAGTCATGATCATAAACCGCGTCCTTCCAACAGCCAATCTTTTGACCCTTAGAGAATTATCGTTTTGAAAGCTGCAGACATAAAACTGGGGGAACATAATAGAAAACATAAGCAAATAACTTGTTAGTAGAGCGTTCATATGCATAGCTGAGAGTTGCATGCAAAGAAAATATAACAGAAGAAACTTACAGCACTGCCGGCAGAGGCCAAGAAATAACAGCCCAGATAAGGGCAGATGGCAAGCACTATCCCACGCATATTGGTTGAATAAGCTAATCGTAGATTCCATACTTCAGTTTCTTCAAGCTTTATCCCATCCGAACTATTATCGTCAGGGCTGCTGCACAGACTGCTACTTGAAAGTTGCTCCGCTCCACAACCACTGATTTCGCGGAAAGGGGAAGTTCGTTGGGAAGATGAGCCGGCTTTTGAATAAAATGTCATTGAGCCACTATCTGAATTTTGTTTGTGCTCAAGGCAGAGGACTATCAATCGGCCCCTTGTACTGTTGACAATAGTTAGTGTTATAAACATACAAACAATTGAACTGGCATATATTTTTATTTACATGCTCAAAGGACCTCCTATTACCAAGATATGCATACATAGGTAGTAAGCTAGTATGGACCAAGTGTGAATGTACGAATGGCTAATGATATCAGCCCAGGACATTAAACTTAGTCCAGTGTGGTGAAAATATGGTGGAAGATCAACAGCATAATTGAGTTGTGTTATACACTGAACACCAAAATAGGACTTGTATTTCACCCAACTAAAAGGTAAAATGGGCCAGCTTAGGGGAAAGGGAAAAGAGTGTAACTTTTCCATCGAATATACTTGGCTTTCATTTCAAACAAGACATTGTTCCTATGAAAAAGCATAACAACACTACATTTCATAAATACAAAAAAGAACCGAGAATTGTTTGTTTTTGCAAAATGTAGTGTTCTTTGCATTTTGAAAAAAAAAAAGATGGTTTGTTTGAAATTATAAACCAAGTATGATGGTTTGAGAAGTTAATATCTAAAAAAAGAAAAAAAGACAGGCTTGATATCCATCAACAGTTAACTGAAATTAATACATACAAAACATAAAAGAAATCAGAAACAATAATCTGATTAAAAAACAAAGAAAAACCGTTGATGGTGTAGAATAAGGAGTTGGGAATGAAAAAAAATATTAACCTTTCAGCTTCACCACTAGGCATTATAGCAGGACCGGTGGAGAGACTAGTTCCCACCACCAATACTTGTTCACTCCCCACCTTCAGTAACTCCATGCACTTCCCTGTTTCCCCAGGATCAAGTTTAAAAGATGACAAAACTGAACCACTCAGGGGGTCCACACAACATATATCCGATGAACACGAATTTTCACTCAGATCTGTCCTTAAAACTAACAACAATCTGCTTTCAGCATGATATAAAACTTTGCGTGGCGTTCCTTCCAGATGGAACTTCTGGACGTTCAGTCTCTTGCTGTGCACCATCTCCAACTACACAAACACATAAAATTTGAACTAGAATCAGCAGCAAGTTGGGAAAAGAGGGAACTTGTATAAATAATCTAACTCAGCCAAGGATTATTAGTAGAATATAAAAATAAGGGATGTTATATCTTTTTTAGGATGGAATGTTAAACATAAACATGTGAGATCAGTTTGGTACAATAGCATTCTCACAATGATACACAAGTTTAAATTCAATACCAAATGGAGACTGTTCTCAGATACAAATAAAATTCCATTGGGACATTCCTTTGAGCATACTGGAGTTGCATGTGTGGATGCTTGGAAAGAGATAGAGGTGTATGAGAGGCTGTGCCTTGCAGTTTGTAATAACCAAGGCCTATCACTGAGAGCAATTACATCAGCATCAGGGAGATCATTCAATGGAACCAGGAAGGCTGGAGTGATACCAATACGACGGATTGAAATCAACTGAAGACAAACAGGGACGTTGTCCTTTGTCATCTCAGATATAATGCATGAATGCATAGCCGAGGTGCTATGTGGTGAAGTCGACGTGAATGAGTTAATTGAACTAACATATGGTCGTGCCTTTGGAGATTCTAATGATGAATTCGTAGATACAGATGGCCACTCAAATCGAAGTAGCATGCCATTCCTCAGCCCTGAAAGGATATAAAGTCGATCAACTTGTACAAGCCTTACATCCTGAGGTACCGATCCACTGATGGTTGTTCCCGTACTGTTTACTAAGGAAATGATTCCTATAGCAAGAGCTCTTATGCCTTGATCAGGTATAAAAGATAGAACCTCCACCGAAGGCCTATGTGTGCCTATAACAAAAGTATTTCCAATTTCAACTCCATTTGTAGGATCCATCACAAGGTGGTTACTAGAGAGCTGATAAAAAGAGTTAGACGGGTCTGCCTGAAGTGGTTTTTGAGGAATGGAGATGCAGGACAATTCATAATCCAATCTGACATGTTGCAACTGGTATACTTCATATTGATAAGCTGCCAGACGTCTAACCCCAAGAACAAATAAGTAGCATGGATTGGAAGTTGCGACAACTATAAACTTATGCCCCACGGCCCCAAGACTAATGGTCATGTTATCAGGAAACCAAGATGTACAATTTGGAGACGTAAAAGGAATACCATCAGGGTGAGCAGCAGCCGTAGGTAAAGCAAGTCGAACTGCATTCTGGTGGATCTGAACCACCAACCCATCACCAATAATACCACACGCTAGAGTACATACATCAGGGCTGAAGCCAACTGAATCAGTCACATCAGTAAAGCTTACACCAACGGAAAGCACCCTTGTCTCTTCTACAAAAGATAGCACAAGGAAAGAATGGTAACAATCAACTAATTTCATTTTCATTGCCCAAGTACCCGTGATCCCTTGATAAACAGGGGCAGTTTTCAATAGTTTCTCTAAACTGATACCATTTCGGATAACCCTTAACGATCCTTCCGGTGCCATCCCACAACAAGCAAACATTTGTTCATGTTTCTCATCATGGTAATCCACGAGTGACATATCCAATATTGGCGAAATATTTTGAACTGGGCTTTTGTACTGTAGCTTCCCTTCTTCAATTTTCAGTACCATCCCATCACCCATTTCTGCAAGTGCAGTAAAAAATCCACCTTCGGCCCATAAAAGCTCTTTAAATGGTAAACCTTTATAGAGACAATCAGAGAGGTTGACTTTAAGACCAGTTGGATCAGAAGAAAGCTCAATCATAAAAAGCTCTCCAGTATCAACACAAAATATCATCCTTGGATTTTCTTCATTTCCTGGTTCCCAACTCCATGAGCACACACGATTGGACGTTGACTTTGATGAATAACCACTATCATCATCTATGTTCATGGGATCATCATCCTTAATTATGTCTTTCAGCTCCAAAAGAGCAGATGCAGCAACGTTGCATATGTTACCTTCTTCATCGACATCATTCGTTCGATACGATTCCTCAACAAAAGTATGCTCATCCACCACTGACGGTAAGAAGTTTAGGCTTGTTCTGTACACACATAAAGGGTTGTGTGCATCCCTAAGATCCATCAGAAGAGCATCACTAACTCTGAAGAGAAATGCGAATCCATAAGAATTGGGAACTTCAACTATATCATGTGCTAGAGGTCCAAGCTCAGCATACTGAGATAGTACGTGGACAAAGTTCTCCCTAGTATTCCATTCTAATAACAAAAGCTCATTAAGAAGTGATCCCTTTCTGCAAAATCAGAAGCAAACATTACTAAAATCATAAGCATGATTTATTGTCAAGGGAAAGACAACTGAATATAACCAAAAAGCAATAAAATAGCAGTTTTATTACTCCATCCATTTAATGATCGCAACGAAAATGCAATGCATTATCATACCTATTTAGAAGAATGGCTAACACAGGGTTGTGCTCCTTGTGTGGTTGACTCATATCTTTCGAGATAAAGCACATGCTCCATATAGTACCATGTATACCAGAAACTCCAGTGCTTGTACTCGTATTATTTTCAATGTCAGAAGGACAAAATATTTTCTGCAGCCAAAAAATACAGGGGCGTCTTAAATCTTGATAAATCAGTACATATATAATCTTCTTTTCTAAAATCTAACTGCTGCGACCTTAAGAGCCTATAACAATGATAGAAACAAGTAAACCTTATCGATGATGTCAGCGCCACCGGAACTAGAAACTGAGAACAGAGCTAGACGGTCCTCGTATGCACTTGTAGCAATGAAACAACCACTGAAAAGTAAAATCAAAACAGTTACATGCAGGAAGCGCTGGATACTGGTTGCAAGAAACCATAATGATGCCCCTGCACACCAACTTAAACAAAAGAGCAACTTACTTGGAATCAACAGCCAACATTCTTCCAACATGATGCCTTAGGTTTCCAGGTGAGCTAGATAGCTGAACTTGTGTCAAAGGGAAGAACCTAAGCAAGCAATGAGTGTACAACAAAAAAGTATCACAAAACATAGTATACAGCAACAACATGACCGATAAAACCCATCTTCTCGTGATCATTAAATGCTCTGCAAGAACAAGAACAAGAACAAGAAAAAAAAACCTGTGCATTTCATTCGAGAAAGTGAGAACCGAGAGCTTTCCGGAGTCTGAAGTAACAAGCAAAAGGTCCTTTCCTTGTACCTACAACAACATCCGAACAACGCAAAATTTAACAACATTGTTGGGGTTTACCTGCTTACCGCATGCAAGTTTTTGTTCAAGTACTTTGGAAAACTTTCAGCCACAAAAGTGCCTTAAAGAGGCGCAGATGGTCTCCTACTAGATTGCCTAATAAACTTTCATAGATGAAGACAACTTGATTCTCTAGCAATTACTAGAGGTTCTCCATGATACCCTATGATTTGCTCATTTAGATTCCTCAGAACTCTCTTGATATTAGATGGAGTCTCGTATATATCTGTAGCAGAAGTAAAACCTAAAACATAATGTAACAAGAATGCTCCCATGAAGCTTAGTGTCAAGGGTAACAAGGTTCGAGTGAGGTTGGCCACATACAAGCCTCTTTGAGGGGCAAATGATTGCCTAGTAAGCATTCACAAAGGAAGAGAACTTGAATTCTCAAGAATAACTGACTGCTCTAGAATACTCAAGGATTCTCTTGAATCATGGACGTTCCTCTAGAAGTCTCTCAATATTAGATGGATTCTCAAATATTTCTGTCCTGAAACCGTCATGCAGCTAGAATGTTCCTAGACCTAAAGAGTTTGTGTATCCAGAAGGATCCTTGTGATATGGAAATCCCTGTAAATAGGTAAGGTCTCTTCCATTTTTAACCTATCCAAGAAAGAAAGAAACAAAGCATTCACAAAGTCCTCCCCCCCTGACAAACCTCTTTAACATTTTGTGGTTGTTCATCCTTCCGCCCAAGTCCCTCAAGCATTTCAGCATGACTTGGCACTCATAAGTGTTAGGTATATATGGAAATATGTATAGTAGAGGGTTTTCTCTTATTTTTTCCTCATAGTTCAGTTAGGTATGTATATTCCATAATGCCCCTTTATGCAACCGTAATCTTCAATAATATTCAGATTTCCATAGAATCCTTCATGAGTTCATCTTCTTCAATGAAGCTAACAATAAGGAACCCCAAATGACCATTGAATAAGGCATAAGCAGTAACATGTTATGCTCCTTAGACATTGCAGAACAATAATAAGGCTTTAGAAATCAAGTGCACAGCAAGTACCTGTGGGCTTGCTCTACGATTCCAGGGAAGAATAGCAAGATCTTTGATTGTTCCAAATACAGGTTGCTCACATATGGACTGCAGAACTCCATAATCATCTATAATTACCAACTCTAAGGATGTTTCCTGCATCAAACATAATCATCTCAGCCAATAAGATGAGGAAAATGTTAAATATCACAACAGTGGATTATATATCATATAGAAGTAATCAGAAAGAACAGCTAAGGCTAGTCTAATTAACTTTGGGTTCCACATAATAGTGGGATGTCAAAGTTCAATCACTTCCCATACGGTTGGGGATTATTTACTGCTTCAGAAACCAAAGTTGATTCATTATTTTCTAGAAATTGGACATAATATCTGCATATAAACCGTTGTATAACATGAAATTAAGTTGACTTGTGAAAACTAAAGCAGAATGAAACCTTGCCGAAAACGATGTCCTTAGAGGAAGGGGATCGGATGTGACCGTAGACGATTTGAAGGACAACGCTTCCTTTAAGAACACATTTAGCAAGGTAGTGAGGACCGCCATGGGATGGCAGTGATTTTGAGTTGTTCCCACTCGCCGACGATGATTCCTCCTCCGACACCGCCATGACGGAACCAAATTAGTTAGGGCTACTTATTAAAATTAGGAATTGGGAAAAAAAAATTGAAACCCCAGATGGGTTATGTATGCATATATTGTTGAAAAATTATGCATCTGTAGATGATTGTAACAAGTTTTTCATGGGTTGTTCTTGGTTTGATTGATTGGGACACGACCACGACCAGTGGTTTTGGAGAGACAGAATGAGAAACAAGAGTAGTGTCATGTAGCCCCCATACGAGAATTGACCAATTTTGAGATTAATGTTTGGTTTATGCGATTTAATTTGATTACATGTGCTCTTAAATAAGGTTTAGGTTTCGTTAAGAATAAGAGTTACCATAAAAATGTGAAAATTATCTACATTCAACTATTTTATTTTATTTTATTTTTTATTAACCTGGATATTCAATCCGCTATGCAAGCTGACTAATTCCAGAGCGACCATCTGCTTTGCAGATAGCCCCGAATCACTGCATTTGAACCTCCGTAGCCACAAGGGGATTTTTATTTCTCATTGGATTTGAACCTGAGACCTCCTGGTACTTTTGACCTTTAGAGCCAAACTTAAACCAATCAAGCATCACCCCTTGTGGTTTACATTCAACTATCTTCTTATCATAACTGATATTCTCACGCATTCTCCCGTCTGTTAAATAAATTCTTTTTTCCGGGTTAAATTGGATTATTTGTGGGGTAAAAATGTAAAAAGAGTAAAATTGACGTTGATATAAATTTTGATATAACTCAGTATGTTTAGGATAGCTCACACTTATTTCACGACTTTGTTGATTCATTGGAATAGCAAAGCGGAACATATATGTGATTTTGAATTCGTTGATTCAAGATATTGCCGCAAAGATGATACGACAAATAATTGAGAAAATTCAACTTTCACTAATCGGAAACCAAAGACTAAAATTTAAAGTGAAATCATTTTATTTAAAGACTATAAATCCTTTATATATACTATATTATAAAACATTTGACAAAAAATTTTAAAAACTATTTTCAATGCATGAAGTACTGTTTATTAATGCATATTACTTAAAATATAAGATTACAAGTATGTTGTGCGTAAATACAACTTATTAAAGCTCTATGTATGAATTCGTGTAACTAATTGCATATAAACATAATTAAATACAAGATAAACATCTCATTTTAAATATATAAAAATCTTAAATATAATTAGGATAATTATTGAGTTCTGACAAAATATTTAATGATTATCTTTATAAAAAATTATATTATTAAATCTAAATTAAATTACTTCGTTACGTTAAATTAAATTATAATAAAAAAATTAAATTACAAAAATTACATTAATAATTTATCCTCATTTATTTGAAATGTTTTATAAAGTCCCTTTATTTTATTGTCGTTTTAAAGCACATATCATATTTTTCGAAAACAAAACTACTTAACATTAAGATTTGAATATCTAAAAACATTACAATAAACGATATTAAAAAAAAAGTAGCTCTAATCCTATATTTCATATTTCGCTTTAGTTTTGTCACACAACATTTTGTAATATGCTAGTTGTTCGTTTGTCATGTCTTCTGTACTTTGTGGTAAGATTCTTATTTTATGATATGCTAGTCGTCGGACATAGTGGGAAGTATGAAATAGGAGGTTGTATGTTTGTAAGTGAAAGAGAAGGTTATAAACATATATTGTTATAAACAAAGAAAAGTATAATGACGATGACACAAATTCAAGTTTGTTAAAAAAAAATGAAAGACGATAAATAGATGATATTTTTTTTAGGTATTTATATTTTATGTGTCATTTTGATCGTCTAGTCGAAAACTTGTTAATGATATATTTTCTTATTATATGTTTACTTCTATTTAATAAATTGGATTAATTAATCTATACTATATTATAAAGCATTTGATAAAAACACTTAAAAATCACTTTTTATGCATGAAGTACTGTTTATTGATACATATTACTTGAAATTCAAGATTACAAGTAAATTATGCATATGTACAACTTATTAAAGTTTCATGTTTGAATTTGTGTAACTAACTGCAGATAAACATAATCAAATAGAGGATAAACATCTCATTTTAAATATAAAAAATCTAAAATATAATTAGGATAATCATTGATTTCTAACAAAGTACTTAATCATTATCTTTATAAAAAATTATATTATTAAATCAAAAATAAAAAAATAATATAAAGAAATACATAAAAAAGAGAAATTTTATCAATATTTTTTTATATTTTTTATGATATTTTCGTATTTATATTTTTTCCAAACTTAAAAACATTATCCTTTTCTCAAAACCACATAAAACCGTATTATAACATCGACTAAGACAAAAAAAAATGAAAACATTAAAATTGAGATGTATCTCACTACATTGTGCGAGTACCCTTTTAGTAAATATTAACAAAGGATTAAAACAAAAATAAGATTGAATGAAGGATGTAATATGAAAATTTAATTGAAACGTTTTATTTGATCAACCACTTATTGTAGAATAAGTCTTTGTACAATAAGTTACAGACTGCCGGTGATAAGCCGGAGGAAGCGAGGGTGAGCTAACTCCAAAAACCCGTCCTCAGTTCGGATTGCAGACCTTACATATTGGAATTATATATCATCAATATTCTTTTCTTTACTCCAATTTTTCAACCCATTAAAAAAGTTTTTTAAAATAGTAATCTATATCTAAAAGAGTATTCGAACAATGCAACGAGACACATCTCGATTTTAATGTTCTATTTTATTATTTGTCTCTGTCGATGTTATAATACGATTTTATGTGTTTTTAAGAAAGCAATAATGAT